TTTTTAGAACGAGTCTCTTTTATAACCCCCAATCCCTCATACGGCTTTTTACTCGTTGCGAACGCAGATTAGTTTTATATTTAAACTTCCATGTCGGCTCGCTCTTGGCTCCCAAACAAGTGCTCATAAACTTTGCCCAGAACATTCATTGCCGTTTGCAGCAGCCACCCACGAAAAAAGAAAAAGAAAACACCATTGGAAGCTACCACTCGACATGGCTGCGCCAACTCCACCATTGCCTCCACCACCCTTGGCGCCTCATTGGGTTTGCAGAGACGAGATCGACTGAGCAACAGTAGGGAACGACAAGCAAGGGCGGAAATAGAAGATGAGGTTTGCAGAAGTTCGATGATGAGCTGTTGGTAAGCGAGAGCGAGAGAGTGCAGGGAAGAGGAAGAGAAGGAACGGCTGCCAAGGGTGAAACTGGAAGAAAAATGAGATAAATGAGTTTCCTTTCGTTTTTCTTCCCATTTCCTCCCAATTTTGGGAGGAAAATGGTCCCACCCCTTTTAGCTTTGTTTAATATTTTTTTTTCTTTCTTCAACTTTCTTCTGCAAACCAAACGGAGGAAACTTTTCATTTCCTCCTTATTTTCTTTCATCTCCTTCACTTTCTACCCTATCCAAACAGAAGGTTAAAGAGAATAAAGAAGAAAGGGGTTTCAAAGTGAAAGAGAAGTCTCGTGTTGTGTGCTTTTTAAAAAAAGTTTCTTTTATTTATTTCCATATGTTTTGCACTTAACAAATATATCTATAACATTTTTTAATATAATATGAAATCATATGAATGAATAAAAATTAAAAAGAATGATAGATTGAAAATTTAATATTTTATAAGAATAAAATTAAAATAATTAAAAATATATATATATATTAAAAACTCCCCTGATTATAGAAATTCATTATATAAAGGTAAATTGTCATTTTCCTATTTGTTTTAATTAACAAAATCCACGTGTATCCTTTTTCTTTTTCGAGAAGATCCGCATAAAATTCCCATTTAGGGCAAGATTGGGTCTAAACAGAAGCCCAGATAATTCAGGTTTCGATTGTCACTAGATCGAATCTGGCTCGCCCACGTTTAACAACATGCTAATTTGGAGTGCACAAAACGGAAACAATGCACTCACACACAAAGCAAACAAAAATATTTTGATCCAAAAATTTATAATCGTACAAACAAATCTTAAATAGAAAGAAATTAGTTAGTTGGCCGTTGAGTAGAACATGTAAAATCATTAGAAAAAATAATTTTAATTTGACAATATGTAGTATATTAGAAATCTGTTAAAATATATTGAATTAAAAATAACAAAAAAATCATCTAACTTTATAATTTATTCTTCCTTATACTTTTCATTAATTTTATAGTTAAAAAACGTGATATTTTTATTATATATATATATATATATATATATATATATATATATATATATATATATATATATATATTGATTTTTAAACAAAAACTTGCAATAATCTAAATAGAATATTTAATCTAAAATTTTAAAAAATGCCTTAATATGTTTTTTTTTTTTTTTTTTTTTTGCATAAAATTGCATCGAAAAAAATAAAGAAAAATTAATATAAAAATTGTATAAAAATTAACAAATGAATATTTTTTATTCTTATTTAATTACAATAAGAAGATTATTTTTTGAAAAAAAAATGTACATTTGATTTATATATATTTATTCACAAAATAATCAATAATATTAGTATAAAAAGTTGTACTTGAATCATCATATGGTTTTTTAAAAATATTATTTTAATTATTCTATTTCAAATAAATTGATTTTAGAATTTTTAAAAAAATTAGTAACAAATGGTTGGTGTTATGTACGTAGATGAATAGTTAATTTTTAATAAAATTAATTATCTCAGCTTTTTTATGTGCATCATTGATCTTACTTAGTGAGTTCACGAGTGTGCAATATAAATAAAAAATATATTTTTTTAAAAATAAACTGTAAAAAATATATTAAAGTTAATAAAATAAAATAAAAAAAGTATTAAATTAATTTTGATAAATTTTAATTATATATATAAAAAAGCAAATAAAACACATAAATTCAATTTTTTTTAATTGATTTTTTTAGAGGGTTTGAGAAAAATTATTTAAAATATACTTTTACCTTTTTAACACTCTCATTTAAAAATCACAAGAATTCATCACCTAAATTATATCAATGTATTAAAGAATTAAATAATGATATTCTAAAATTTATTCAAAAATTCATACTTAGAGAAAAACAAATCATATTTATTAAAAAATAAAATTATATAATTAATTTCATGAGAATTTTTATAAGAAACGAAAAATAAAAAAATCAATTTTAAACAATAAGAGTAATATATATATATATATATATATATATCAAATTGAAAAGTTCTTTTTTTTTTTATTTTTTTATTAAGTTATGATCTATTTATTTCAATTATTTTATAGCTTAAACCACTATGAATACACTCTTCTTACAAATATAGACAATATAAATGTAGGATAGGCTACAAAAGAGACCAAAATTAGAGTTGGTAGTCGCTTTCTCTCTTCTCTCTTTATATTTAGAGACCAAATTATATATATATATATATATATCAAATTGAAAAGTTCAATTTTTTTTTTAAGTTCTGATATATTTATTTCAATTATTTTATAGCTTAAAACCAACACGAATACACTCCTTTTACCAATATAGACAATACGAATGTAAGATAGGCCACAAACGAGACCAAAATTAGAGTTGACGATCACTTTCTCTCTCCTCTCTCTATATTTAGAGACCAAATTACGATGTAAATAAACTTGAGGGTCAAAATAAAACTTTTAAAAATATCGGGAGTCAAAATGTAATATCAGAAAAAAACAAGGATATAAATGCTTCAACATAACTTTAAAATTATGAAAATACTAATCAATAGTGCACATGAGTCCAAATCTTTTAATTTTGTGATTGTGTGAATAGTAAATAATCCAAATCTTTTAGTGTTTTTTTTTAATTTTTTTTTAACTAACTTGTTATTATGGTTTTGCGCTTAAAACCTTCAAATAACCATAAAGATAATGAGTACAATTTAATCTTTTAATTTTTAAAATATAAAATCATATCATTATTTATTCAAATTGAAAATAGGATTTTAAGAATATAATAAAATGATTTTTTTTTATCAATTTGTGGATCAAATAAATATAATATAGATGAAAAATATGACAAGCAGATAGTAAATGAAAAGAATTTAATATTTTAGAAGTTAGAATAAGAGAACAATTTTTTTTTTAAAAAAAAAACATGCGTTCTGTACAAATAAGATTTTTTTAGAGAAAAAAATATATGAATTTGATGCTCTTCTATGTAATTTTTAATATTCATGAACTATTTTGAAAAGTATAGTTATATTAGGATTTCTTTTCTTTTTCAGATACAATTTAGGTACCATTGTAAATTTGATTTTTTTTTTTTTTTATGTGCATGAATAATAGGGTATTTTTGGATTAGTTTCAAGATTAAATCTATTATTTTCTGAGTTGAATTATCCGGGATTTACATTTAGCTTTTGATAGATTTGAAGGAACAAACTCTTATTTTTTTTTTTTTTAAATTTGGTTTTAGAGTTTGAAGCTAATGTTATATAATACTACAATGAAACTTGAATAAATACAAAAATAAGATTAAATCTTTTTTTTCTCTTATGAAATACAGATTTATATTCAATGAAGGAAAAATGCATAAATAAAACATTACCCTTAAAGAGGTGGGTATTTCTTAACCAAAACCTGCTCAACAGTACTAAATCTTATTAAGTTAGCTAAAAGTTACGAGCAGCCTATTTGTTCGACATGGATTAAAAAAATGATTGGAAGAGATCTGTTAAGGAATGAAGATAAAAAACCAGAGAGGATAAATAAGAACTATCTTTCTCGACTTTGTCAAACAGGCGATGAAGATGAGTACAATCAGATTCTAAGCAAACCTTAATGAAGCTCATTTTCTTAGCCAATTGAGTAGCATAGATAGCAACAAGAGATTCACCTATATCAATAGAAAATTGCAAATTCAGATGTTTATGAGCACAAAACAGAATCTGGCCAAGAAATGGCGCCATGTGCACTCACTCACATTAATTGTTGCTCAAAGCGGCATCAACATTGATTTGAGGATGCAAGAAGATAGTGCTATTGTGTGATATCATCCTTTCATGGTCAAAATTTTAATGAATGATTACTAGAAAAATTGTTAAATTTCTTACTTTTATATAAGTGCATTAGCAATATATGCGAGATACCAAATAATTTTGATAAAAATGACATTTGTATAATTGAACTCAATATTTTTTTTCTTTCTTTTATATATATATGGATATAGACCGCATACTAATATTTGGAGGAATATTCATTGCATCTATTTATATCGAAATAAAATTTTAGAGCGGTCTCATCCGACATGCTTTTACCGCTAAGCCCTCCCAAATGAGAATTTTAAGCAGTTCTTGAGCACTATACTAATACATTAATGTTATTTTCCAGACCCTCTTGCTCTAATTAGTAATTACGCTGGTGCAGGTGTTTGTCGAATCAAAGAATCCGGAGGGTGGAATGATATCGAATTTGACTAAAACTGTGGGCTTGGTCCCATTTTCTACGTCTTTCACGAAAAACGTAGGCCCATTATTCAATGGTCCAGATTTTATTAACTGATCAGACACCAGATCAACGGTAGGGATAAAATTCTCATAGATGGCGCTACTAAAACAGATGGAAAGAAAATAACACCAACGTCACTGCAATCGAAATTTCTGGCCGTTCCAGAAGGAATCCCAGTTCTTCTTCTTAACTTGCCCAAAACGAAACCTATCGTATTTCACTCAATACAAAAACAAAAAGAACGATAAGCCTACCTATTCTTGATTCTGAGAGACCATAAAACAAACACTTTATAGGCAGCATACATAAACACAGGAGAGAGTAGAGGTTTTTAGAGATAGAAAAAAAAAAAAAACAAGATGGTGCTATGGGAGATCACATTGGGAACTGCGTATTTTTTGGGTCTGAAACGGACTTACAAACTGGCTTTAAGGATTCAACGTAGGCTTATTAGCCCCAAGTACCCTAGGATTCGTCAGTTTGTTCAAAGGTATGTGTTGTTGCTATTTTGTTGAAATGTTCTTTAATTTATTAGCTCTTTTGATGTATTTGATTTTGTGAAAGTGAATGATTCTGTTTTGATTTAACTGCTTTATTATAGGATCTAATCACTTTTGTATGCCGCAGTATTTGATCGATACATTTCTATAGAAATTAATAAGTGGATTGCTCTTTCTTTGATCATTTATGTATTCTATATTTGCGGGATTTTAGAAAGATATATTCACAAGTTATTGAAATTGATGTTTGGAGTAGATGTACCTATGGTTTAATGATTTTGGTCGTCTATGGTTTGTTTGATAGAGAGTGTCCGGTGTAGGCTTAATTCGATTTTCCCATTACATTTTAAGTCTCCAACCATTTAAGATATAGTTCTTCGAGGAAATTGGGGTAGTTTGAAAGGGAGTGTCATAATGTCTATGGGGATACACAGGTATCAGTAGCATATCTACTTAATGTTGTTGATTGTTGATTGGGATGCCAAGTGGCTTTGATTTGCTTAAATTGTGATGAAAACCTGCAGTTTTTCCTCTGCTTGAGGAGCATGCATCAGATGCATTGAGTTCCTTTTTAAACATTCTTTTCTTAGTTCAGTGCCTAATCATTGCTTCTGTAATTTGGCTTTGGGGTCTTCTGAATGTAAGGTGGACAATGTGTATTGACAGCATCTCTTTAGTGGCTTTCCTTATGCTAGTTTTTTTTTTTTTTTTTTTTTTTTTTTTTTTTTTTTTCACACATGTATGCACGCTATAGAATGGGCATTCTGAATTTGTATCATGTTCCCTTTCAAGTCATCATTTCCACTATCACTTTCTATTTCAAGGATGTGAATCCAGACAGTATTGGCCATACCATTTTATCCTAGAAGATGATTATATGCCTTATAGTTCTTGCACTTAGAAAATTATGATATTTAAGCACTCAGTTTTGGGACAGGGGTTTGCCAGGATTTCTGTAGTGTTATACCATAGATTTTGATGACGGATAACAAACATTAACTCATTGGATGCTATTTAATATTTAGACAACTGTTTGGACATTTATTAAAGATTCTGACACTGGTCTTGTGATAATTAGACAAAAGCCGAAGTACCCAAAATCAACTAGATGAAATCTGAAACTCAAACCCTATTTAAGTCCAAGCCGAAACTTTCCAAGCACAAACACAAGCAATCCGAATTCCACAAGTAAAGGTAACTCTAATTTAGATTGATTTTAGCAAGATTTAGAACCCCACTACAATCTAGGATAATGATGGTCGATAATACCATTTTGATTGATCAAGTCAAGAATATAGAAAAAGCGAACCATAAGCAAAGCACGAGGATACACAAATTGGAGAAAAGTCTCACAAGTTTATTCAATAATTCATCAAAAATTGTTTTTCCATATTACATAAGGATGTTTAAATATTAGGGCAAAATACCAAAAGGTGCGGTAACAACCTTTCCTAAACAAACAAGGATATTCGGCCCTAGTCCAAAACAAATAAGGACAACAAATCCCTAAGCCTTTCGGCCACACTAAACAAAATAATCCAATCCAAATTCAATTAAGGACTAATTAACCTAGTCCAAATTGAAAGCAAATATGGACTTAAAATAAACTCCAAACATAAATAGGAATCCTTATGCAATAAGGATAAAATAAAACATGTAAAAATAAAGCATAAATTAAAGCTGCAAAATTGGACTCAATACTAGACTTGACATTTGGCCTAGTTAGGCATGGCCACATTCCTGTGTCAGATTCAAATGGATGAAGTCAATGTAATTGAGACATTTGGATGGCTTAAAAGGCTTGGAAGGTTCTTTCAGTGTGACTATAGTGCCACTAAACTTTCAATTTTGTTACCGGATTGGTTTACATGCTATTTTGTACAGCTTGTGTAACTATTACTTGTTGGTACCACCATCGCTCGCTGTTGTATGTTGTGTATCGCTAATGCTGCTATGCCTTTAGTTTGAAACTACTTCCAGGGCTTAAGAAAACTTTATATTTTCCTTATTTTCCCAATCACATAGGCGAACACGTGCTGTTTTCGATGTTGCTCTGAAGGTTCATCTGAATATACAACAAAGAGACATAGAGGTTGGTCGGAATCTTGGCAACAGGATTCTGAGGTGGTTGGACCGAATGAAACCTTCTGCTGGTATTCGTGGCCCCCCACCTGAGAAACTGACAAATGGTGCTAGCTCAAATACGAATTTTAGAAATCAGGTTACCAACAACACTTCCCACCTGAAAGCTTCGGGCACTGACCAGACATCCAGACACCAGGAATCTGATAGGCACCTTTTCACCTCAGCAAGGAATATGTGGTCAAAACCGTTTTCATCCATTGCAATGATGATGCGGCCATCAAGACCTGGAATTTTTACACAGTACAGGCACTTGAGCATACAGGGCCCTGAAATGTCAAGACCAAAATACAATGTTGATGCTGGAAGTGGATTTCAGGGGGTTTTCCGGAAGGATGTAATGCAGTATATACTGCAAAGCTAACAATGCTAGGTGCTCTCTATTCTGTGTTTCTTGTGGAATCTGACTTGATTCTGAGATGAAACCGTGCAAGAAGTTGGCTGAGGTGTAATTTGAGGGGACACAATGCAGTCATTCTGAAACCTTTTTCTTTCCATGTTTCTTTTCCTCGTGTGGGCAATAAATTTCCCCTTTTTTTTTTTTTTTTTTTTTTTTTTTGCTGGCTGTTAATTGTATATGGTTTCGAGCTCTGAAATGTCGAGACCAAAATACAATATTGGTGCTGGAAGTGGATTTCAGGGGGTTTTCCGGAAGGATGTAATGCAGTATATACTGCAAAGCTAACAATGCTAGGTGCTCTCTATTCTGTGTTTCTTGTGGAATCTGACTTGATTCTGAGATGGAACTGTGCAAGAAGTTGGCTGAGGTGTAATTTGAGGGGACACAACGCAGTCATTCTGAAACCTTTTTTTTTTTTTTCTCCATGTTTCTTTTCCTCGTGTGGGCAATAAATTTTTTTTTTTTCTCTCTGGCTGTTAATTGTATATGCTTTCGAGCCTCATTTTATTAGGATTTTTTCATTAACTTGACCTCTTTGAAGTTCTGTTGAATGTTTATTTAGTTGTACTGCTGCAAATTTATGATGCTTATGACTTATGAAATGACGCATGTAGCAATATTCACAACTCTTCTTACCTTTCAATTTTATTGGGAAAAAAAAAAAAACACAACATCATGCATTCTTGCTGCTGGGATTTTGTTTAGCATGGCACAATCGCCGCTGAATTAGGCCCATGTGCTGTCACACCACATCAAGGGCCTCAGTGAACCCCGCCGTGAAGCAGCGGCAGCTCTCTGAAGCCAGGACCATATTGTGCCTGATTCGAACTAATGCTGCTATGTGAAGCCAGGACAGATGCCAGCTGCTCTTTTGGCCAGGGATTACCGTGACTTGCTAAATCGTGACCTGTCCTGAACTGGTTGCAGTTCTCCGCAGCCACCATCACATTGTGCTGCTACAAACGAGGCCCTGCTCCGTTAGGTCTCTCTAGCAGCAGAGGAGGCTGACCTGAGAAGCCAGCACCATCCCTCTTTCTGGCAGTTCAGCAAGCAGTGGGCCTCCCAACCAAGTTCAGGTTTATGTGAACCTATTCCGGCTGGTCCTGAATGAGTGCCAGCGAATCACGCCCTCCGGGTTCGGCCAAGTTCCATCGCTTTAATGCCCCCACATGGGTCACAACTTACAAGCCACCGTGAGAATTGGCGAACCAAACTGTAATTTTATTTTTACTTTTTTTTTCTAAAACAATCCTTCAATACCATTGTTTCATCTAATTCAACTTTTAATTTTTAATTTTTAATTTTTTTGAAAAATCTAATCCAACTTAATAAGCACAAGTTTATGAAACAACAAAGGGTTTGAAGTGCTTAGGACCTGGGGTTCACTTTTATTTTTTTAGTTTTTATTTTCTTCTTAATAAAATATCTACAGTTGGAGGCTTTTTTTTCGATAGATTGAGGTCGAGGGATTTGTGTTCCATGTTTTTTTTTTTGGTCTGAAAAAAAGAAAAATGCTTTGAGAAAGAAAAGTTTTTATTTGAAAGATAGTACTTGGTTGTGAAATTTTATAATACACAAGGAAAGTAATCCAAGTAATACGTATAGTATTTACTCAATGGATCCATTTTGAGAAAAGAGATGTACACATCGAATTACATCCGAATTCATCAAAAATAATAAAAATATTTTCACGTTTTACTTAATTTTTTAAAATTTTTTCTTTCCTTTTTTATGTGTCTGTCTGTCTCTTTAAAATGAGTTCATAGGATAATTATTGTATATATCATTAATTATTCATTGAGTACCGGTAAGCAGTTTTGTTGGGCAGAGCAGGATTATTTTCTTCTTCTTTTTCTTTTTTTCCATATCCCCGTTATAGATAAAAATGACAAGGACACGGTGGTTAAAGCCCACTGCTTATGGGTTACTGTGTATGGCATCATATATAAACGCATTAAAGCCCAAACACATAGCCAATAACCATCTATCCACCTTTTCTCTTTTCAATTCTCCGGCTCTGGAAAGAAGAAACCTGCTCCTGCACTATATAAACCTCTCCTCGTCCGACAAAAGAGAACAGGTGCGAGATTATCTTAACCTTCTCGTTTTTTATCTTACTGCTATCTCACTGCTAGTTTTTTTTTTTTTTTTAATTCCTTGTATTGAATCAATCTCTGATTATTTTTTTTTAATAGAAAATTGGGATCTTACAGCTTTGTGATTTTGCTCTAATATGGTGGAAACAGAAATGAAAAAATTGATTGATTGGCTTCATTTTTAAGCTGGTCAATTCCCACTTGATTGATTGAAATCATGCTTGAATTTCATTTGGGTTGATTAGTTTCAATGACTATGAAGGGATGAGTTGCTGGGTTGTAGAAGAATGTCCTTCTGGTTCATAGGCTCCTTACTTTTATGACATTGCAGTTGGTTGTGTTTAGCAGACATAGAATTTGATCAATGCACCTAGAAAGGTGAAATATTTCCAGTTTGTTGATTGTATTTGTTCTCGTAAAACGTCTGCCAATTGCTTTCATTTCCTTGAATGAGGTAAATGATGGGGTTTATTATTATTATCTCCAAAATGAATTTGTAGGCTGGTAATGATGTATCAAAAATGCAGTGAGTGGTGCATTTTATCCCTAATTGTTCTCTTAGTTGTTACTTGACCCTTGTAAAAGGCTCAAGCTGCTGATCATTGTGATGATAATGACAGTTGGCAATTGAGTATAATTGTGCATGTTTAGTGTGGCAAGTCTAATCCCGATGCAATAATGTGGATTTGGTAATAATTCAATTTTTGTTTACTGTCCACGGCCCTCATAAGTTGTTCCTTGTTTCCAATCCCCTCATCTTTTTCTGTTTTTGCACGAGGACTCCTGATTATTGTTTACACAAGCAATATGGTGAGAATGCTCGGAAAGCATTTTGTGGCTAAGAGTGGGAAGTCTTCTTGCAGTTAACTTAAATTGGAGTTATTTGGATTTAGCCTTGTGGAATTTGATAATCCTACTTTTATTGTGGATCTTGGAGCTTAAAATCAATCCAAGCTTCATATTGTGTAAGCCAACAACTTTATTGATGGTTCTCATTCCACAAAATAAACCAGAAAGACTTTTTTTCCCCTTGTTTTGATGAGCACCTCTTTTCTCATCCTTCATTTTCTGAATTGTGGAGTCTGTTAGCTTGATGAAGAAGTTCTCTTTCTTTTGCATTTCCTTCTCATATTTTTAGTTTTTGCCATATCTACTTATATGTGGTATTGTGCCACCTCTCTCTTGTTTTTTCTTTCCCCCTCTTCTGGGACATGTGAATTCGTATTTCCTGTTTTCATAGGCACAGACAACTGCAAACACTGGCATGGAGTTAGCAGACAGAGCAGTTGGGTTTTTGTTATCTCTGATCAGCATATCTATCTTCACTTATTATACTTTCTGGGTTATCATTTTGGTAAGTACAGTTTTCCATTGATTTGGATGCTCATATTCAATGAACTTGTCTTTAGTGTTTACTCTTATCTTGTGGTTTTTCAGCCATTTGTAGACAGTGATCACTTTATCCACCAGTATTTCCTGCCACAAGAATATGCCATACTCTTACCTGTATTTGCTGGCGTGGCGCTTCTCTGCTTCTTATGCATGTTTGTTGGATTTGTGATGCTTAAATCCAAAAAGAAGAAGGCGTAATGTGGCAGCAATTACTGTTTTGCATATTTTAATACATTTGACACTAATAGACCTCAGTTTCTCTCATTGCTAGATTTGCAAACTGGACTAGTGTTTTTCTTGTGAAATTAGAGCAGTTATCAATATTAGTGACAGCATTGTTGTGGCTTTCTTGCAACCACTTTGTGACTGTTTTTTCCTAGTGACTATCATTGCATCGTTTGCTCAACTATCAAGTTTCTTGTGACGTGGAAAATTAAGTCTGAGCCTCTCCGTGTTGCTTTGAGTCTAAAAAGAGCATACCTTAGACATGGCTCATTTTTTATTTTGGTTCGTTCCTTGTACTTTTCAGAGTATCACGAAAGTTTTTCTAGTTTACACAGTTCCTCACTAATTTGAGCCTCATGCATCCTTAAATTTGGAAGTTAAATGAAATGAAATAACTAACGATTAGGGGAAAAAAAAAAAAAAACTGAAATTACCTGCTACCTTTGGGCAAGTAGTATTATTTTAACCCTTCCATCTTTCCATCACCTCTGTTTTTTTTCTCCTAGTACTTGGTAGGCTCTTTTTTTAATTTGTTTACCAAGTATATCCTTCTTGGCTTACTTTTCGTACATTGAGATTAGTTGCAATTTTTCAAATCTGATTAAAGGCTGGTTGTCCACACTGTTTTTAGTTACATGTTTTCGATAGTTCTGACTCACTTTTTCCCTGTAATATCAAAAGAAAATTCAAACTGCAGGGTTCTTTGCTGGGTTATCAACCGAGGTTATTGTTTACTTGCAGCCAAGAAATTTGGTATTTGTTATGTTGATGTAGAAAATTTTTGTTCATGATTTACATAATTTTGTTATCTCTTAAGCAATTGAACAGGGCAATTGGAATAGGATATAGGTAGCGCAATGTCTCTTACTCTGACCAGGTCATTTTAGCATCATACTTTACTGTTTTTGATCATTTGAGACTTTAACATGGTGTTTGAGTTGGAACTCTTGAAGCACAATCCAACATATACAGAAGTAACTCAAGACACCTGCGAGTTATCCATGTTCAGAATCCGTATCTATTAAAGGTGTCTGCAACACCGTTGATCGCTATGCACATGTGAACGCTTGAAGAGCCAAGAATCGCAACATTGATGAGAAAGGGAAGATCTCAAACCTAAAATTTCAAGATTGTCTGAAGAGGAACAAGAAGAGAAACCTAAGATTAAAATGCATACATTATTCTGACTTGCCCGAACACTTGTAAATTTTCCGAACAAGCTCATAGCGGAGTCACCGAGGAAAAATGGCCCTGCGGAACCCATATTGCGGTGAGGGTGCTGGAAGGAGACAAATCTGCTTGAACTGTTTTGAAACGTTGTTTAACCTGCACTGGACAATACATAAATTGACATCTCATTCATCATCAACATTGTTTTGCTATGCAAGTTGAATACTTCTTTACAAAGCACAAATAACTTTCCTACTGTTCTTTGGATTTTAATCTTTCAAAATTTTAATAGGATTTGGCAAGGTATTACATTTATGTTTCAGATTTTATGAGAGCACAAGTTGCTAAATGTAATGCAGTTGTAAAGTATCACCTCATTAGTGAAGTTGCAAAATGTCTGGCCATCCATTTAATCAACTTAAAAGAACTGACAATACCTTCTTGCGTGGTAAAGTGTCAATAATCACATTGCTGAAGAGTGACGATAGAGAAGGAAATAAAATAACAGGGTGTGAAGAGTGTACTTTGTACCTACTGAGATGATACATTCTACCAGAATTACAAGTAATAAAGCAATCCAATCTATCTCTTCAAAGTTATGCCTAGTAATTTCAAATTCACTCTGTTGGTTTGTTGAATTAAAATTAATTTATATGGTGTCAGGCCAAATTTTACTGTAAAAAAAAGTAAGGGACGTTTCAAGCAGAACCCATTATTAAAGAGTGTAGACAACAATTCAGCATTCCAAGCAGTTTCTTACAAAACAGAAGATCATTTGCCAAGAGCTACAGGCATTTGAGAGGGATTTGAACCAATAAAAGATAATAGAACATACCAGAAACAACTTCAATTGCTTCAAACCCAAGAATTATCAAAAGCAGCTGATGTGATTGCCTGCGAAAACTCCTGGAAACTTATTCTTCCATCCCCATCAGTGTCTGCTTCCTTGATCATCCCTGTCAACTCCTCTGCAGTAAGGGCATGCCCTAGTTTTGCCATTGAATGCGCCAATTCGGCTGCTGTAATAAACCCGTTACCATCCCTATCAAACATCTTGAACAGATGCTTTAGCTGCTCCTCACTATACGGTGACTTCTCCGGAAGCAGTTCTGGTGCCACCAGAGCCACGAACTCTGAGAACTCAATTAAACCGTTGCTGTTTGTATCTGCCTTATGAATTAAGGTTTCAAGCTGGTCAGGACTAGGTTTTAGTCCTAAGGACCGCAAAAGTGAGCCTAACTCAAGCTGCGTTAAGCTTCCATCATTGTTTCGATCAAAAGAACGAAATATTTCTCGTAGCTCGGCAATTTGCTCATCATCTAGCTTCACAACTGGTTGCTTGTTGCTCATATTGTAAACAAGAAGGGGGAAAAAAAATCCTCTTTTCCACTCGCTTTCTTTACAGTTCCTATCTTTAACTCTGCAAAATATTTGGCAACTAATGTATGGCCAAATATTGCAGTATGTGAAATTCTGTGTTTGGATCAAATAATATTCACCTATTCTCTTGACATGAGTATTGGAATCATGCCTTTCTTTCTTTCTTTCATTTTCAAGATTGATTCACTTCTGTCGTCCCATTGAATATCAGTTGTAGATCTCTCTTCCTTTCTCTCTCAACAAATCTTGGAAATGGATGACTTCTTTTTCAGTGACCAACAAGAAGAGATTTGAGAGATCCAAGATTGCCTTGATAACCGTTCTTTCTTGCCTCCACTTTATATGGATCCTCCTATTTACAAGTGATCAAACCCCAACCCAATTATCGGATCCAATGAAGAGGAAAAAAATAAACAAAAACAAAAAGGAAGAAGCAAAAATTGAGAAACTTTGGTGATGCTTCTTTGTCTTAAAATGATGAACACGTAGTATTTGTCAAGACTTTTCGCAATTTTTGTTCAGTTGATGAAGAGTCAAAACCGACACCAAAGAAGACAAAGACGTTAGTTTTCCATGAATTAATAAATGGTGTGTAGGGGTTTACACGAGACAAATATGCTGGGAACTAGTTGAGGTTTTTTTTTTTTTTTTTTTTTGGGAGTAATCCAAAGCGGCAAAAGAGGCGCCAATTCCGTGATTGGTGCACGTCTTGTTTGCTTGGTTTGGCTATAGTGTCCCCTTCTCCTGACTTTGTCAACCGTTTTTTTGTCAATAAAATTTAATGCTCTTCCCTTTGTTGGGTAATCCAAGCAAAGTGCGGGTCTTTGCATACAAGTGGGAACTGGAAAAAAAAAAAAAAAAACATGTTTTGCCATTTGGCATTTTTGCACCAATCAAGCTTTTTGCCCATTTGAGCGTTCAACTAAACAAGAAGAGAAATTGGTTCTGGTGATGGATAAAGCCTGTAATGAGTGTGGATATGCAGAACGAATGTGGGAACATGCACCTAGGACGGTGATGTAGGTTCAGGATTAATTTTTTTGGCTTTGAGTATGACTTACTAACAGTATAATATTAATCGGTGGATTCTCTGAAGGACAAACGCAAGAATCCAACCTAATATATCAGTCAGGACAAGAAATTTTAAATCATTAGCCATGTTCGTCCCCAATCAGCAACAACAAGGAATAAAAGAAAAGGAAAATGGACAATATAAACTACAAGAAATTTGTTCGAGATCATCGTTTATTTATCATTATTAATCAATTTGTCATTTTCTCAGCCTTCCAAATTTTTGGAACATGCATTCATCATCATCGGTATATGTTTGGTAATGGGATGCTTTTATAAAAAATGCATTTGAGGAAAAAAAAATTAATACCTTTTGATACGAAGATCAAAATCATCAAAAAAAAAAAAAAAAAAAAAGAAAAAAAGAAAAAAAGAAAAAAGAAATTACTTTGATACACTTTCAATCTAACTACATTTTGAAAAATAATTTTGACTGCAATATATATTTATTACGAAACATATATATTTTCAAAGAACCGCTTGCTCTTGTGCTGTGCCTAGTGTTATGGAAATCACAGTGACATTTTGGGTTCATCTATAGCCTAGGCCACTGCAACCAAACGATCTTGTAATCGAGTTAATGCTATATACTCCTCACTCAATACGGTGTAGGTTGGAGAAAAGCAAATTCCCATATTAATTGATAGTGGAACAAACGCTTTCTTAGATTTGGTGTTTCCCGGAAAAAATAGCTTGCCGAAGTCAGGGCAGTTTATGTGATTCATGAACGAAAGTGGGTGAATTTGACAACAAAAGGACAAATTCAAACTTCATAGGTGGTGTATTTTCAATTTTTTTGGTAACTAGTCATACAATTGAAGATTTGTTTAACGTATGGATTGTTTGAAGCCAAATAAGCATTGAGCTGTCCTTCTTTAGCCAAGACTTGCCTGTCAATTAAAAAATGAAACCCCAAATTTTGACTTTAGAATTCGTCAATTAACCAGAAGAATACCAAACCCATTGTACAAATAACTACACTTTGTTTTTTTTGGAGCTCCGGCCCTCTCATCCCTTTATCCCACAAACATACACGCCTACTCTACCAAACATGCCAAGTCCAGTGAACAAGAAGGACACCAAGTTGTTTAGCCTAACTTGCATGCAAGAGTTCCAAGAAAAGATTGTAAGAATCATCATAGAAAGCTTAAGCCTTTGAATTTGTATCTCAATTAAAATTTGAACAAACAACAGCCAGAACTTTGCCCGTCAATGGCTAAGTTATGCATCTCTGTGTCTGTGTATGTGCTTATTATTATTATTATTATTTTACTTTATAGTAAAACCAAATGATGTTTCACAGAAGATGAGCATTTTCCCTGAAAAAAAGAAGTGATTTTTGTCAATTTGTTGGATTATTTACACTTTGATCTTCTAAATTATTAAATTATATAAAACAATCTAATGTTAATTAGCATTACAAACAAATCCGTAGACTTTTTTTTTTACTGGTTTAGGTTTATAATTAATGGTTATTTATTTATTTTTGTTAGGACTCATTAATTAAATTTAAACATTCTTCTAATATTAAACACCTTCTTTTCAATTTTTTTTTTTAAAAAAATAGTTAATTACATGTTTTTTTCTTTATAAAAAAATATTCCTAAGATATATATATATATATATATATATAAACAAATTTTTATAATTTTTATTTATACTTATATTCTTGAATTATTTAAAATATTAAAACATGGTATACAATTGACTTGTCCGAGCAACTGATGGGTATTGGGCTACTTATTATTATAAAAAAAATTAAAAGAAGTGAGGGTAGAACTATTCATTTATTGTAGCTATACATTCAAAGTCCCTAGTTATATATGTTTTTTTTTTTGCATCCCGATCCCTCATTCTTTGAGAGATAAATTAATTAGTCTCTTTGATTTGAAAACTAATTTTTTTAGTCATTTTCACCATTTTACTATTTATATTTTCTTTCACCATTTTACTATTTTTATTTTTTCTTTTAAGAAATAGAAAAAACCAAAAAAATAATAATTCTTTGGGGAATGAATTAATTAATCCCTTTGGTTCGAAAACTAATTTTTTTTGTCCTTTTGACCATTTTCGTTTATCGTAGCAGCTTTCACCCTCTTTTTTTTTAACGACGTCCATTCTTTCGGATGTAATGATATATATTAACTTTTTCACTCATTCATAGTTCTCCATTCTCTAATGAATAGACTTTGCAACCTTCATTGTCTTTGTGATAATATAATTTATTGACTAATTTATCATCTTTTTCAACTATTAAAGTATTTATAGGATTATTATTATAGTTAATAATTATAATGTATTATCATTATATTTTACAAAAAAAATAGTAGTGTTTTTTTTTTCTTGTTTTTTTTTTTTTAACGTCCGGGCTCCTTTTTTTTTTTCCTTCAATTTCTATATTTGTAGGACTATTATTATATGATCAAATATATTTTTTGGTCTTTATTTATTAGAAATATATTTTTTAAATAATAAAATTATTCATATTTAATAATTATAATACATTATCATTATATTTTACAAAAAATATCAAATAAATATTTTATAATATTTATTTGTATTTTGATTGTGAATATTGTATTTATGCAATGTTTTTTTGTTTTGTTTTTTTTTTTTAATGTCCGGCCTCATTTTTTTTTCAGTTTCTATATTTGTAGGATTATTATTATATGGTCAAATATATTATTTAGGTCCTTATTTATTATAAATATATTTTTTAAAATAATAAAATTATTTATAGTTAATAATTATAATATATTATCATTATAGTTTACAAAAAATATCAAATAATTATTATAAAATAGTTATTTGTATTTTGATTGTGAATATTATATTTATTATACAATATAGTACTTTTATTTTATTTTATATTATGATATAAATAATATATTGATATATTATTTTATGAATTTGAATATATATAAAAATTGATAAGTATTTTAGTAATATAATACATTTGATAATTATACCATATAATTAAATTAATATTACATTGTATTAGTTAAATATTATCTTCAATATATTGGTATAATAATATAATATTTGTTAATAAATAATTTATTTAAACATCATATGACAATTGTTCCCCTTCTATATAAATAATTTTTTATCATGAAATTAGGTGTGAAAATAAAAAAAAAATCGTTATTTTTTTATTTTACTTATAGTTTGACAAGTAATAGAATATAGATGATATTTTTTAAAATTTTTATTTGAATATATATATATATATTATTTAAAATTTATTTCTTCAATTGTTTATTTCTTATTAAAATTCTCATCGAATTAATTTTTAAATTTTATATGATTTTATTTGTTAATAAATTTGATTTTTTTTATACATGGCTTTTGAAATAAAATTTTAGAACCTGATTTTTTATTTTTTTTAAAAAATATATTATTATAATTTATATGATTGATTTATTTTTATGATTTTTCAATGCAAATAATGTTGTTGCATATATAAATTATGATGAGAAAGAGAGAGCTAGAAGTTTGTTTAAGATATTATAATTATTCTAAAAAAATAAAAGAACTAAGGTTTTCTCTATCCATTTATCGTAGCGTTTTATTTATTTATTTAGTGTCGGTTCGAAGAAGCGAGCTCTAGGAGATAGCCTAGCTCATTTTACTCGTAGTTTTTTTTTTTTTTTAAGTTGGTCTCGGAGAAGCTTTTTTTTTTTTTATAGGGCTAGTCTTGAGAAGCGAGCTCAAACGAGCTTGCACAAGTACTCCCAACCAACGTTTGCCTTTTTTTTTCTTTCTAATAATTTATTTTTATATATTTTTTTATCATAAAATTAGGTGTCAAAATATAAAAAAGATCATTATTTTTTAGTTTTGCGTACAATTTTATGGGTAATATATATATATATATATATATATATATATATATATATATATATATTAAAAAAAATTAGTTTAAATATATATATATATCTAATTATATTGTTTTTATTGTTTAAAATTTATTTCTTCAATTGTTTTTTTTTATTAAAATTCTCATCCAATTAATTTTTTTAATTTTATATAATTTTATTTGTTTATAAATTTGATTTTTAATATATGAATTTTGAAATAAAATTTTAGAACTTTGATTGTTTTATTTTTTAAAATATATTATTATAATTTATATGATTGATTTTTTTTTTTTTATGATTTTTAAATGAGAATAGCGTAATTGCATATGTAAATTCGATGAGGGAGAGAGGATAAAAATGTGTTTTAGATAATTTTACTTAATTTTTTTAAAAATAATAATCAATTAAAAAATTAATATATATACCAATCGACGCGACCTTGCTCTTTTTTTTTTTTTCTATAATTTATTTTATATTTTTAAAAGTCTAGCCACCAATCTCATGATAGAACAAAAAAAAAAAAATTGGCTAATTATTTTAAATCTTAATGTGTTTTAGGATTAAATCACCAAGAGGCGAAAGAAAACCCTTAAAAGAATATACATATTGTCATAGCATAACTAGATCTCCAACAAGTGATGTACATATTAAACGATCATATATAATTAATTTCTTCATCGCTAAAGAAAACGTATATATTATTGATCTCCGAACTAATATTAATTATATCTTTGACATTGATGTTAACATACATTTTTTATTATTTTATTTTTATTGTTTAAAATTTTTTTCTTCAATTATTTGTTTCTTATTAAATTTCTCATTAAATTAATTTTTTGATTTTTTAATATATGCATTTTGAAATAAAATTTTAGAACGTCAATGTTTTATTCTTTTAAAATATATTATTATAATTTATACAATAAATTATATATATATATATATATATATATATATATATAGAGAGAGAGAGAGAGAGAGAGAGAGAGAGAGAGAGAGAGAGAGAGAGAGGGGCTAAAAGTATGTTTTAAATGATTTGACTCAATTTTTTTAAAAAATAATAATGAATTCAAAAAATTCATAAGTTTGATTTGATTTTTTATATATATTTATTTAGAATTTATCAAAACCAATTTTGTTATAGTTTTTATTGTAATATATTGACTTTAATATATTTACGTAGCTTAAGTGGTTTTTTTTTCTATTTATTCTATATATTCTGAATTTGTTATATATATGTATATATATTTGTATTTGTGTGTGTGTGTGTGTGTATCATTAGTTTCGTTATAAATTAACTATATATAGATTCGATTTATATTAATCACAAAAAATAAAACTTTCTACTTACATTATACCATACGAATCGTTAACCCTATGTATGTAACGATTGTTTGTCCGCAACATAGTGCGGGTATCCAACTAGTTACTACTACAAAAGATAGGCTAGACCTCGAGACCTATTGAGAAAAGGGACACTAGTGTCAGTTGAACTGAAACTTATTGGTGTGCATGCTATTCATACACAGGAGAAATCATTTACTTTCGCTGAGGGTAAAATAATGATACATAGATCCCAAAACAGACTTATTTGATGTTAAATCTACCTTGCTAGTCAATGACACAATGATGCAGTCTATAAATATTAGTATAGTATTCAGATTCTAAGAACATTCCATCTCACCAACCTATAAAAATTAGAACTGCCAAATAACTTATGCGTAACCTGATGCTTGAAGAAACTCCCTGAAATTAGTAATGCATGAAACGCTAGATAAGTCATGCTGCAAAATATTTGCTGTTTTTCCCGCATGTTTGTCAATACTGAATTATATGTTAGCTGCTTCATTCTTCTGCAGCTTTGCTTAGCTTAGCTTCCTACCACACTGCTTTATGTGGTTCAATTTGCTCAAAGAACAAGAAGTGAGGTCTAAAGACTTAGTTGTCGAAACTTCAAAGGACAACAAAACTACACTAGAAAGATCTGTTCTACTCATTGCATGATTTAAAAATGGTTCCAGGAAAATGTGTATTCTTTACAACCAAGAAAACTAAGAGAGAGTTTTAATGAAGCAAAAAAAAAATGTTTCGTTAACAGAACTGTTATAAAGATGGCTTATGTTGGACTCCACAATCTTAACTCGGCTAAATGAATGTGTGATGCAATTTCTGTTTATCAGGTTAATAGGCATCTTGAATTCATTTATCAGAACCAAAGTCCTTTATTTGGCTCAGCAGACACCATACACGTGATAGTCAGCCAATTAATTTAAGTACAGCCTGCCCATTTTCATCTTAATCAACCTTAATCTCTTAAAACTAGAGGAAGTTCCCAGGCACCTCCTACCTAATGACAACAGCTATTAGGCATTTTAATGTCTTCCTTTAGAATAATAATTTTATTTGTATTCCACTCAAATGTAGAGAAACTTGTTTAAAAATGTGTAATCTTACAATTATATCAGAATGGTTCAAAGTTTTCTCTCATTTCCTTGGCCTCCCAGCATCTAGAATTTAGCCATCTTCTTCACCATGTAAGCTATTCCCTTTTCTACAAACTCAAGTATAGAAGAGAAAGACACTGTATATCCACATTACATAGCACATTGCAGAATGTACCTGGCTACAGTTCTAGAAGAGGACTTCCTTCTTTAGCAAGAACGAAAAGACCACCATCTCCTCTTGAGATTCGGAGATCCTTGTCAAGGTAGGTAATAAGAAGCCAGGAGCTTGCTCGGTTGCCTGGAATGGGTACCTTAACTGGTGGCTGGCCAGAAATGGTTCTTCCAATATTTGCTGCTGCCTCCTGCAGAGGATTGAGAGATTGCTGGACAGGAGACAAATTGATCTTTTGCCCGAAAAGATTAACATTTTCTGGGAGATCTATGTTGGAATTTATCTCCGGAGGTTGCAATGTACCTTCCTTAAATTCAACCTGAGCATATCAAAAGTAGAGGAGACTATTAAGGCTTAGTCAAATCCTTATGCCAGAAGATTCAAAGGGGAAATTTTCAGAAACCAACTCCTCACAGCAGGGACCACAAAGCTTAAACTAAAACAATATCTTTCCAAAGCAATCATTTCTGCTTTCTAAAGAAGATCCTATATTACTATATATATTTTTTTCGTTCTTTTTTTTTAAAAAAAAACATCAAAAGTCAAATTGTTTCAACAGTTTTAAGAAGTACCTGTATTCTTGATGCAGTTCGAACCTCAAAAGTAGCAGATGCGCTAAAGGAGAAAGTAGCAAAAGGGCTTGACAATGTAGTTGAGTTTGCAATAGATAGATTGTTGGTATCAATTGTTTGAGTTATGCTTTTCACTTTCAATAAAGGCGTAGCCCCTGCTGCCAAAAGTGGCAATAGCTCGGAAAATGCAGTATACCTGTCAGTTATAAATCCAAATTAAATAAAAAATTCATAATTAAAGATAGTGTAAATGACAAAAAATGATCTAATTTTTGTCAATTCATTAGGATGCTTGTTACAATGTTTTTCATCATGTAACTGAAATCACCAGCAAAAAATTTCATTTTCAGAAACTCTCTGGAAGCATATAATATAGCTGCAGTTCCATCCAATTGTTATCCTCATACATTTCATCTGATATGTGCTGACGAAGAGTGGCAAAGACAGCAGCCTTATTTGATATTTTTAGGACAAAAAATACAAACATATCTTATGTGGTGAGCTTCCAACAGAAGACGATGCTTTCTATTGGTTCCATTGCAGGCTATGGTTCCATTATAGATAGTCAAGCTGGTCTTATTGTAAAGCAAACAAACCATACAAGTCCACGTAATTTTGTCAACAGAAACATTAATATGAAACACAAATGACTATTTTTCACTTCATTTCAAACATCATAACAGTTTCAGAAACCAGTTCTCCATAATAAGATAATCCCAATTACGTCGTTCCCATCAGAAACTCTATTCTATAACTTAAATCAAACCCCAATGTACTGATTCACAGTGCCCCTAATTAGAATCCCAAATTTGAATTACTATAGATTCAATAAGCATTTGGCAACAGTCAATTAGTCTTGGTTTCATTTTCAAATAAAAGCTCAACAATTGAGTTGCTAGACCCTCAACTCGACAATAGCTACAAAAATACATAGATTCCAAAGCCCCAAAGCTGTCTATTTTCCAGCTATAAATTTCATTTGTAGCTAATTATTTATCAAAAAAAAAAAAAAAAAAACAGAGAAAAAAAAACATACAATCAAAAACTTCAAAAATTCAATTAAATTCAGCAAACTAGCAAACTTACACCAAGATCCATTTGCCATCAAGCAAATCAGTAGCATCCACAGGTGCCGGAGTCGGGTTTACAGTCTCCAACTGATTGACCAACTCCAAAACCTCGGCCCGTATTTCCGGGCTGGCCCGAAACCCAAAATCAGTACCGTAGACCGTATCAACCAAACACCTCTTCAACTCCTCAATCCTCTCATCCTTCTCCACAACCACCTCACTGCTGGTACTCGGTGCCGCAGCGGTGCCATTTCCAACGGCAACAAATTCCTCCTCCCACTCGTCATCATTTCTCGGAGGATCCGAGTCCGAAGCTTTCGGGTACTCAGGTTCGGGTACGGGTTCTGCTTTCTCGCCCCACTCGTCAGTGATACTTGTTGGAGTTGGGTTTGGTTCCGGATCCTGATCAGAAGTCGGGTCGGACGATGATGATGAGGCGTGTATGAGGAGGGTAGGGAATCTGGGCTGTTTAGTAATTTGGGGAAGGAAACGGAGGGTTTTACTTTTAGGGGTATTGTGGGAGAAATAAAGGGATGATAAAGGTGGGGTTTTGGAGAGAGGGAGTGGGTTGTTGGGGTTTATGGAAGAGGAAGGGGAGAAGAAGGGGGAGGAGTGTGGGGTGGAGAGGAGTGCCATTTTTTTTTTCAGCGTGTGCTTTTGGGTGTGATTTTGAACTTTGGTGGGATTTGTAGTCCCAAAGACACCAAAAATCTATTTCTCTTTTGGCGTTTTCGGCCAATTTCAGATTTTTGCCGGCTCCAGTGTCTGAGTTTGTCCTTTATAATTTGCTCAATGCGAGTGATTTTACGCGTTGATGATCTCTCTATTTTTTGTTGGATTTTATTTTCTCAAACAAGGTAGTTCAAAAACTTTTTCTATGCATATTCTTTTTTTGCTATATTAAAAAAAATGCAAAAATAATAATAAAAATACCAAACTGAGTCTGACTCGGATGAATCCCTTACTTCTCCTTGCGTATGAGGTCTAATTAGTAGGGTCTTGAACGTTCGGTTTGGTTTATTCAATTTTGTACCATGTCAGATTTTTACCGGCTCCAGTGTCTGAGTTTCTGAGTTTGTCCTCTATAATTTGCTCAATGTGAGTGAGTTTACGCGTTGATAATCTCTCTATTTTTTGTTGTATTTTATTTTCTTAAACAAGGTAGTTCAAAAACTTTTTCTACGCATATTCTTTTTTTGCTATATGAAAAAAATGCAAAAATAATAATAAAAATACTAAACTGAGTCTTACTCGGATGAATACCTTACTTCTCCCTGTGTATGAGGTCCGATTAGCAGGGTTTTGAACATTCGGTCTTGTTTATTCAATTTTGTACTATTTTGTTTTGGTTTGTGATTGATTGAACCATCAAAAATATAAACCGAACCTAAACCAAATTCGAATTTTTTTTCATTTAAAACCAAAATTTCAATTTTTGAGTTTTTGGTTCAAACTGATTTTTTGTTTTAATCTTTCGTCTAAATAAAGTTGAAAACAATTTATTGAAATTGTAAATCATGATATAATTTTGAATTTAGATTATGCAATGGACATATATAATTTTTTAAACCTCATATCCTTCATAAATCTAAATAAATGTTTATCTACGAAGATCATATAAGTTAAACAATTTGTAGTAGCATTTTAATCAAACTTTTATGTGCTAAAAGTGGTTTCTCTTTCTTGAATATTTGAATTTGATTAAAGGTTTAATTGTATTTGTCTAGTGTCAACACTATAAAGGTGTTTTTCATATATGAGATTTAAGTGCGATAGTGTCATTTTTTATGAGATGAGCAACAAGTGCTTTATCAAAGTAATTGCATCTACCCTTAATTTCTTTATTTTTATTTTTAAACTTGTTGAAATGGTCCCATCTATTTGATCTTGACTTCATTGGCTTCCTCTTCATTCTCTTATCATCATGAGTATTTGCTAGAGATGAACTTGATAGTGGAGTGCTTGATTGTGGGTTGCTTGAATTCACAACTTTAGGTTGCGACATCTACATAAAGAATTATATCAATTTTTTTTTTTTTTTGTAGGGTATATCTAAATAGATCTAGATTTATTCAATAACTAACAAGAAATCAACTTGACGAATAACAAGAAATTTCAACATCCTACCCAAACTACTTATCGCTTATCGTAAACAAGACAAGCAAAAATATAGTGACCATTACAAAATAATAATAATAATAATAATAAATAAATAAATAAACTATAACACAAGCTTACCATCACACAATTACTAAACACCAAAATAAGTGTTTGAAATTAAAAAAAAAAAAAGTATATCTTGGAAATTAACTAGTTAAATTGTGCTCCCCGAAAGATATACCGATGTTAATCATGCTCGTTAAAAACACATAAAAAGGTATTTGAACATTATTAAAATAGAAGGACATTCTCTTACAATTAACTCTACATAAGAAGTTTTGAATATTATCAATTGTCCGATTCCATCCTTAAAGTAGAACTATTAAGCTTGTGATGGATAGACCAATGAAGAGGGAGATCACCAAGTTATATTTGTTAGTGTAGGTGCTCAAGATCCAACCTTTTTGAATGGGCTTGACTTAATATATTATTGTATTATTTATATTGGTTATAATAAAAGAAATTTTTTTATTAATTCTTGTCATTTGTATTTATTCATTGTATAGAATTAGATAGAAGCCCATATGATATGAATTTGCATTAGTGATTGATTGAAAAATGTGAAATAAACGTTAATACACATAAATGATATCGTTAAATGTCCCAAATCATAGCATGGTCAAGAATGGACATTGACTATATGAGGTTAGACTTGTGAGTATTTTACTCATGCTATATGATAGTAGTAAGAGATCTCACATCTATTGACATGATGATACCAAAGCAAATACTTAGGTGATTTATGTTAAAGAACATATCATTGGACTTAACTCATCATGAAAAGCCATTTGGTTTAGTTTATAGGAATCTCATATGAGATGGGTACAACTGGTCCTTAGACTTAAGGTCATCAATATTATCTCATTAAAGAATTTATGTACTTTAACACTCATTTCGATGGATCCAATAAAAGGCTACATATGGACGATTTGTTGGGTCTACTAGGAATTTAATGGAGGTATATGATCGACTAAGATAGAACATGTCATTCCTTTTATGCTAAAGGAGTTATCACATTACACTTTGATGAATGTCTACTTAAGAAATCTATGGCCACGGAAGAAGTACACTAATAGAGCATAGTTGGTTTACTCTAAGAGCTAAGACATTTAAGAATCAAAGAAACTTGTGTAATTATAATCAAACAAGACTAATAACTAAGTTTGAGATCACATTGTGATAAGTTGACATGAGGATTGAATTGTATGGTAACTATGCTCATAAAAGGTAATGAAGGATTAATTAATCCTCATAGAGAATTGAGTAGTCATGATACCTTATTAAAGGCTAATATTGACTTATATATCAAGAGATAAAAGAGATGTCTTTTATTCTTGATACATTGCCAACATATCTAGGAGCCTATTGAGTTATACGCATAAGTTTAAGTATTCACATGATTAAAGCGAAGCAAAAATATTGAAAAAACTTTCCAATTATGAAAGTTTTCTATTTTAGAAAGGATTTTCGAAAATAAAAAGTTTCCTAAAATGGAAGTTTTCTTAAATGAAATTTTCCTAAAGTGGAAAGTTTTCTATTTTAGAAATCACTTTTCTAATTTGGAAGTTAATTTCACATTTCCTTAAATCATTTCCTAATGTAGGCGACCTAAAATTATCTAAGTTTATTTATTTGGATAGTCCAAATTAATTAATTAGGCCAAAATGGTTTTAGGCTAATAAGTTTAATTAAAAGACTGAAGATATTTTGATGGGACGATAAACATGAACCTTATTAGATAAAGATGAATGTTTTATAGATAAAGATCAAAAGCTCACATGTTAAATAACTCTTAATACTTAGAGGATTTATAAGCAACAACCAATAGTCCAATAAGGACTAGTTGCTCCTCTCTCCTTATCCTTGCAGGATAAGGAAACTCTCTTCCAATAAAAAGGATGAGAGGTATAGTGAAAAAAGAGACTTTGGTGTGAGAGAAAATTTGGCAATAGCAAGAAAGAAAACTAGGAAATTCAGCCCAAAGTAAAAAGAAGGAGAAAATTATTTTCTCCCTAACCTTAGTACGCCACTTTCTCTCCCTTTGTTTTTGGGTTGTCGTAAAATTACCTAGATTAGATTTCTATAGGAAACACAAGATAAATTAGAAAATGGTAGCATTCTACTAATTTTGAGTGCTTCTTTATGGTTGCTTGGATCTGTGTGGATAATCAATAAAGGTTGAACGCTTAGATGGCTCCTTTCTCTACTAAAGAATTTAGATATGCGCTACAAGAGGTAATTCTTTATTCATCATTTTAATTTTTGAATATATCATTAGTTGATTTAACAACATGATCTTGGGTCCTTTAGATGAAGATTTTTATTTTTATTTTGCACCTTCATAGGATGCATGATCCTTCAATCTCTTTCTATGCTAGTTCGAAGTTAAAAGTTGAGTTGACTATCTCCAACAAGCTAAATACTAAACAACTAATAAAATATATATATAAAACCATGATTGAAATACATAATGAGACTATCTATAGACTTGATAGATGATATCTATTAAGATAATATGATGATAAAGTCCAGATCAATAAAACAAACAAATTTGGTTAGTAATAGACTCCAAAGACTATACTCAACTTAGTTAGTTATAAGTAGATATAGGTTAATACAGTTTGTAGCTATTTTATTTTATTCTATATTTATCAAATATAATTGAATGTAGCAATTATGATACACACATACATACACAAGCATTACTATTGCACTCATAATTGGTGAGCTATTCAAACTCTATCATTAATATTTAATTTGGTATCAAAGGCTTCATCATGGGGAATTTTCCAATTCTTAATCTAAAATATTTGTCTCCCGTAAGTACTTATTCCCCTACAAATCATCAAATCGGTCATGTTGTATTTCCATAATCTCTACCTAAATTTACTACCCCTCTACCCAAAACATATGTCCCTCTAAACTTAAAATTACCAACATCCATGTCCCGAACTAAAAATATCTCTTCATTTAGTCCTACTATAGTTATCCTTCCCAACAAGTACACCTCAAGAAAATTTCACTAAAACTCTAGCAATAACCTCCTCATCTAGAACCATTATTGATACTCCTATCATAGAAAAACTCAACTTTAACCTTTTTGCCTTATCGGACCAATTATAGTAGTCCAATCCATCTATAATAAAATCTTTGACTTCATCTTCAAAAACCATATATGTCTTCTCATTGACATACCATTGGTTCCTTTTATGTCTCCACTAGTAAGCAATCAAAATAAATAAGGATCGAACCTTATTATTGACTTAAGCTCTTATGCCATCTAGTAGCGAGTGACAATAGATCCTTATTAAACCTATCTACACTTATGAAGTGTGCTCGCGCTTTATAGGTTCTAAAGAAGTAAACGCTAGTGCAATCCTTTCTCCTCTCTAGCTTAAGCCCTCTTGTTATTCATAGGCTAAAAAATATCAAAAGTTATAGTAGGCCATGGTTACTCGAAATTAATGCACTACTTC